TGTATGCAGCTAATGATCATATGGAACAACAACAGCTAATATGGAAACTTGCTATTTCTTCAAAAGATTTCATTTCATTACCATCAATTTTGAATGAATGTTAAAATATTGAAAGATGGTTACGTTTAGAGAATGTAGTGGTTAAAACTTTGCTCCCCGAAAACAAAATCCTACTGCATTTCTTCAACTGTTAGTGAATCAAAAGAGAACAGCTATAGACAGTTATACTATAATCGATAGTTCATTATTATTCCGGTAACGCGTCTGCGCCGGTTCGGTTGGAGGATCTTATGCAAACGTTACGTGTGCGGTGGAGTATGGCCTTAAGGTTTCCGAAAAATGGACCAAGCAAACCGAGGTCACCAAAACACTTACGATATTGTTCGGAAAATAAACAGGCAAATATTATTGGAGGACAATCCTTTGCATGCCTTTCTGTGATCTATATAAATAAAAATGAATTTCCGTTCAGTTAGTCTCTCTAAAGCTCTAGTACGGCTGAACCGATTTGGCTAATTTTGGTCTTGAAATGTTCGTGGAAGACCAGGACAGGTTTAAAAGGTGAGAAAATGTTTTGAGGCGGTACGAAGTTTGCCGAGTCAGCTGGTAGGTTATAATATCATTTTGTTATTGTGAGAACACAAAACTTGTTGCTTCTGAAAAATGCTCATATGTGTACGTACATATGAGCATTTTAGCAAATAAACAATCTTATCTCTTGTCACACTACTAAATGTGCGTCACGGTTATCATATGGGTAGGTAAGGGAAATCCTTCAAAGTGCGTCCTTTTCAAACACTTCAAACATCGGTTCACACATCCATACAATAAAAAAAAACAATAGGACAAAATATGCAGAGTAGGTATGTGTAGGTCATAAACAAATTCTTTGTGTCTAACCTCTGAGAATATCTACATTTTTTATCGCCAACCCAACCCAGGTTTAACTCATTTGTTGTTTATTTATTACTAGCTGTTACCCGCGACTTCGTTCGTGTAGATTATGAGTTTTAGGACACAACTTTCTTATTATTTCAGTTATCCGTAGTAAAAATATTCCTATGGGATTCCTTAGTACATCAGCTACCTGCCAAAAGATCCATAAAAATCGGTCCAGCCATTTCAAAGATAGGCCAGTACAAACAGACAGATAGCTAGACAGACAGACAAAGAATATTGAAAATATTATTTTGGTATAGGTATCGTATGTATGTGTATTCATATGCATATAGTAAAAAGTGTTTATATCAATATTACAAACAGATACTCCAATTTTAGTTATCTGTATAGATTGAACAGACATTTTCTGGTTATTGTAAAGGGCTGAAAAGATAAGAATATGTATTATTGAAAGTCACTAAGAGTAAAAAGTGTGAAAGTTGTAAATAGGTTGTTTTGCTAACAGAAATGTGACGACTAAATATGTCAATAAGATTTTTTATCAAACGTCGTGTCGTTTGATAAAAAATCATATTGACATAAAAAAACGAAATATTTTGTATATAACTTCAATCAGCAGTTAATGCAAAACTTGAAAACTGGACGTTGCCATACAGTTTTTAAATAAAATGTTTGAGCTTCACCGTTGTTAAATAAAACCGTTATTGCGAGTAAGTTCTGCAAATAAGCGGTGCACATAAGTCGCAGGCAGGACATACGTACAATAAAACCCATACGACCATACGACCATATAACACAAACTGAACACGTCCAAAAATTATTTACCTACTGGGATTTTTTCAATAAATGTGTATGACTAATGTAACTTATAAATCAAACGCGGGTCAGTTGTTGATAAATATCTACAATGCAGAAATTCATGAGACAATAACGGATGCTGTGTTGTTGTGTTATTGAATTATGGGAGAAACCACAATATCATTTTGCGGGAATCCCGAGACCTTCTCGGTGGAACAATGAAAATATGTGAAATTGCTACCGTACTGTGAACAGCTGTTACCTTCTGTTCGTGTCATACCGTTACCTTGGTCGTTCTATGTGTTGAACTATTATGACACAAATGTCATTTATGTCAATAGTCTGTCTACTAATATTACGCGGAACTGTAAAGTTGGAGATGGTTTAGTAAACTTTATCGATTGCAATTTTACTTGATAAGCATGGCTTAAATTTTTCTCATAATGGTCGTTATTATTTAGATACTATCATATAATGCGTTGGATGGTACATTAGAACAAAATCACAAAATTTTTTGTATTCATAGAAAAGTTAGTGTCAGATTTCTATAGATCTACGGTATCTAAATTATTGATGAAACTAAACACAGATATTACGTTCTAGAAAATAAAAAAAAATGCATCCCAAACACAACAGCAAAACAGTAAAAGCCATTTGAAAATTAAAACTTCATTGTTTGTTAGAGTTATTCTATTGTATTCAATCAATCATCATTTCAATCTGGGTTTTGTGGTAAACTTAAAAATATGAATACCGTAGTGACACGGTTTGTTGTCCGGTTGTGTAATAAATGTGCCGAGGATGACGTGTTGCCTGACTTTCGCTGCAGCATTGATTTCAAAGGGAAATCCAAGCATTGCGCGGTACTCAGTGGAGGTGGCGCCATCTGAATATTGTGACCTACTCACGTACTAAAGAGGCTGGGATTCCCTAATCTGTCGTCGACACCTTGATTCTCCGTTGCATATACATATATGCACAATCTGAATTATCGTCAATTTTTTTTATGTCACGGTTTTATCTGATTGAAACGAATTGTATTATTATTTACGACTAATAAAAAACATTGTCAAATTACAATACTCATATTTTATTTTATTCGAGGACGTTATGTAAAATCAGTCAGTGTTGTTATTGGCAAGTAATAAATGTTAACAAACTTGTCAACATCCTTGTTGTGAGATCGTAAATGATATTCGCATGAAAAGTGGATGTAAAACCTAGATACACACAAGTATATAGTGTGTCCGTCTCGTAAACGTAAGGTCAACTGAAATTAACTCTTATTTGCTGACTCATCAGTACTACTCGGAAGCGGTATACTTAACGTCCCACTTTCGTTTACATAAGACGGTGTTATTTTTCGAAAACATCCTTTTGCTTTGCTTAAGTTTGACTCACTAAAGAAATAGAGGTTACTCAAGTCTTAACGTTTTCCTAAGTAAATGTCGGCTCATGTGGAAAAGCGAGTTTCTGAATCCACTATTATTAATTGTTACAGGTTTTCTAAATATCAGCAGTGCATCAAGTAAATTATGTCATTGGCCGCTTATACGCGGGTGAACAGTTCGTACGTTATATCACAGATGCACGAACTACCTACTACGACGTAGAAGTATACACCCATATACTTATGCATTTACTCGGTGGTAATATGCAGCTGCGTGTCGGTTATCAGGTCAAGCTTTAACAAGCGGTACAATATGGTTGGGGTTTTCCCATCCGTGTAATCAATTGGTAGGTAGGTAGTTACTAGTTAGGTACATATTCCGGAACAGAGCGGGGACAGATGTAACCTGCTTCTAACAATACGATGTGATGATATCACGCGGTCTCTTAGATGCAAAAATAATTTACAATACACGACCAACACTTGACACGTTCGTCGTTTGACTTTTGCTCAATCAATCGATTTTGTTGATAGCAACAACATCAAATCAAATTAGTTGGCCTTTTATAAAATGAGGGTGAGTGCAGTGGATGCGAGGCCATCCATCAATCACACGCTATGGCCGGACATGATTGAGCACTAACAGATATGACCCCCATTTTTGCGCCTAGATCATTAAATTAGGTACAGACTTCTGACAGACGATAATTAAATAGCTTTCTCAAGTCATATTTAATTATGTTGAGTATGTATCAGTCTCACGCTGTCATTAACATTTTTTTCATGTAGCTGTAAAATTACGTTGAGAATGTAATTATGAGTGGCTTAAAATATAATTAATTAGCATGATTGAAGGAGAGATCAGCGAAGTAAATATTAACTTACGACTTATCTAGGTCTTAAGTACTTTACTCGTACGGTTATAATTAGATATTTAATTCTCGTTGCTATTAAAACAAATTGTAATTATAGCAATTTCAATGTTTATAAGAAACGTTGAGAAGACAGTCGTATCATATGATCGCCGTTGTATGTATCGTGGGTGGCTGACCGCGGGCCGCCCCACCTCTTGCCCGAGGAGAAAGCGGTGAAATGACCACAGATAAAATAATTTCTGTCTGAAATAACTTTGCACTTTTTGTCAGTCGTTGTACAATAGGCTTGTTACGTTGTGCTCGATATTACATATAGGTACATAGAAGTTGCACAGCCCAAAACCACATTATACTAGTTACAAACAAATAGCTTATTAGTTTTGTTTTTAAGTTATCTTTTTGTTTTCTACTTAAGAAACGTTGTTCTACACTTGTGTCTAATATTATCGTATGTCTCCAATATATCTATTCAATTAACTAAACAATGAATTTGTTATTAGGCGACTATATTAAATAAGATGTCACTGTAACTGGAGAATGTAGAAATAAAGATTTTAATTTTATGGAATACTTGCCATTTTCATTTGTTATCCTTATGTGTGGGAACTACATTATACTAATTCATTTCCTCTAAATAATGGAACTGTAAAAAATGTAAATATTTATGTTTTGAACGTACCTACATATTATTATTTTCCTGAGTAAACAAATTGTTGACTAAATCGGATCGTACGATGCATGTTGTAAATAATAGAAATGCTTACGCAAGAACGTTAATATGTCATACTTATTTTCTAGATAAGAATTATGGCTGTAATTTTAAATGAAGCTCATCGAGGTAACCGTGAATCATTACTGATAGGTGGATTCACATAATGACACATGTACTTAAACATGTAACGTGTATAAATTGTAGGTGCACAGACCGTAGTAATCAATACATGTTTGGATAGTAAACTTGTATGTGGCTGGTATTTTTGTTTGTCCTATTTAATAATCTGTACAATGTTTCTCATCTTTGGCGTGGCTTGTTTCAGAGGCAACATGTTGAAGGTAGCGGCAGTGGGCCTGCTGGTCATAGCGACTGTCAATAGCCAGTGTTTCTACAAAGATGACTCTTCGAAAAAACTCGACCCTGAAGCTCGCGTATCGTTATACCGAGGGCAGCTGGCATTCACTCTGAACTTGTTCAACGCCATTAACAAAGCTGTTCCCGACGACAACATCTTCTTCTCGCCCTTCTCTGTTTACCACACTCTCATGCTCGCCTACTTCTCCGCTGGTGGACAAACTGAACACTCCTTGAAGGAATCTCTGCGGATCGCTGAAAGTATGGTAGGTTTTGTCTGATATATACATAATTCTAAAAATAAGTGTTTGAGGAAAATACACGTCACGATTGGAAAAAACAGATACCCACCTGCTTATAACCAGTTGATTTGAAGCAGGAAAATAATATTTTGGTGAGGATATTTACACATCCTCAAATTATCATGGACTAGTAGTAATAAGAATGACTACTACATGTTTAAGTCTGTCATATCACTAATAAATATACGTGTGTATCGATTCTAGGACAAGATCAACCTGATGACGGCATACAAGGTTGACAAGCGGTCGCGCGCTGCCAACAACAACAGCGACAGCTACGAGTTCACGAGCGCCAACAAACTGTTCACAGACGTTAGCCTGGAAGTGCGCCAGTGCATGCTGGACCTGTTCGGAGAGGAACTGGAGACACTGGTAACTATCGAGTCTTCCTATTTTTTAATTGCTAACAAATGCAGTATCTGTATTTAGGACTAATATTAAACTGTCAAACACCAAGCGGTCACCGGTGACCGCAACATATTGTTCTATAATTGTGTCTATAATGACGGTACTCGACGAGTTAAGCATTTAAAAGATGATCGGGCGGATATTTTTGATAAGATTAAAATACAAACAGAAATTACCATAAATTGCGATAAAAATGTACACTTCATAATCAATTAGACATAACCTATACCACTGAATGCATAAAATTATTGCTTGCAGAACTTCCGCGAAGATCCTAGTGCTGCTCGCACGTACATTAACGACTGGGTCAGTCGGATTACCAAGAACAACATCAAGGACTTGATACCTGAGGACGGTATCACGCAGGCTACAAAGTTGGTGCTCGCTAATGCTGCCTACTTCAAAGGAGTGTGGGCTTCCAAGTTCCCCAAAGAGAGGACAAAGAAGGAGGCCTTCTTTGTTTCGGAGACACGTCAGACTCTCGTACCGTTTATGAAGCAGAAGGGAACGTTTCATTATAGTAAGTTATTTTTGGCTATAATCTGCCTTTTGGTCGTAATACAAGGAGACAGTAATTAAACAAAATACATGTTCATACCTACCATTATCGTACATAATGTACAGTGCATATTATGCGAAAAAGTTGAGTCCAAGTCGGTAGCACAGCTAGGCATGAATGCCAATAACTCACACGTTGGTCATACCTTCAAACAACAAGTAAATAAACCTCAAGTGGAACCTAACCTTGACTAATAAATGTATATTTATATTTGCAGTGGTAAGCGACGAGCTCGGTGCCCAGATCTTGGAACTGCCTTACAAGGGCAACGACATCAGCATGTACATCTTACTGCCACCTTACTCTATGAAGGAAGGTTTGTATTCACATTTTTATGTAAAATACAATATGTATACCATACAGCCGCGTATTTGACAATTTTGGTTGTGATTCGAATTAGCCGTTAATATCTATTAGTTCTAAAATCTTCCAGGTTGTGGCTTACTCGAGCATAATTTAGAACTTTAAATCATCCTTTACTTACGCTGTTTTGCAAGGTTAAAATGTAAGTACCTATATAAAATGGCAAAACCGAAATCAAATTAGTTACGATTGAGTTTAAAACCCTTATTACTTTGTAAGGGTCCAAGGGAATGAATATTTCAACTATAGTCCAGAAATTTTAGTACAGAAATAAATAAAAGATGTTATTAACTGCCCATAACATATTTAATTTAACAAAAGAGATCTCGTTATTTGGTATTTTGTAAAATACAAAGTTGTATGGCTTTGGTTCGTTTGTAAGTTTTATTTTATTTTGAGAAATTCTGTCTTTGGATAAACCCGTGGCGATATTTCTAAGAATCTTTACTTAACTAGAGTTCAGCATTTAACATACAATGCTTATTATTAAAAGTCAAAGAAATACAATAATTATAAACAAAAAAAAATGCAGTTGAATCGAGTTCTTCTTCTTTTGCAAGCTGTTAGCGCAGTCAGTAACAAACACTTTCGATGCTATCACAACTTCGTTTACGTCAGATACAGATCTAAGTGCTTAATCTGATACGAATGATGGTAGTTACTGTAAACCGTAGTTTCTAGTTCACTCGGTTGGTAACGGTACATTCCAATTTAAAACTCATGGATTATTTCTTGCTTTATTTGACCTGTCGGTACTTTAGTTCCATCAATCATAATTTGCTCTGTGGCTATTATTGTGACCTGTGACTAGTCGTCGTATAAGAATTGATTTATTTTAGTAGGTATGTTAAAGTCATTCGTAATGACAACTACAAGATTTTTCCCAACACATTTGCCGTTATTTAGCCAAAGTGTGAAAGAAAATTAAGTAAATATAAGTATATACTTATTCAGCATTCGCTATATGTAATGGATATGTTAATTTAGGTCATGGTGCCTTTGTAAGTCTCAATTTTTTTAGAAATGTTTTCAGTACCTATACCTTTAGGTGCCTACTTACAATACCAGAAACTTTCGCAATTATTTGTGAGGTTACAATGGTCTCACAGTGACTTTACAAATAATGCTTATTATTAGTTATTAGGTACCTACTTATTGGTCAATGTAACTTTGTCCGTAGGTGTCACCAACATTATCGCGAACCTGACCCCGGAGCGCCTGGCCTCTGTCGTCGAAGAAGGTTACATGGGTCGTGAGGTCATTGTTGAAATACCCAAGTTCACCGTCGAGAAGAGTCTGCCTTTAAGAGATGTAAGTATGACAATTTTTTTTATCATGATGTAGATGTCTAGTACGACAGTTGAAATATATATAAGTATAAAAACAGAAAGAAGGCATATCTTTAGATAGAAAACTGGATAAGTCTTTCTCTTTTTTAATATTGATCTATCTTAAACTTTTGAACTTACTTTTATTAGTTGTGTTCGATTTTGTAAATTCTACATAACAGCATCAACAAATAGCTGTCTATACATATAATGTTTATTTCAGGTGTTGGAAAAATTAGGAGTCGGCGACTTGTTCAATGCGACAGCTGACTTCACCACGTTGTCGGAACAGCGTGGCATTCTTTTTGACGATGCCGTTCATAAGGCGAAGATACAGACTGACGAAGAAGGTACGAAACCAAACCACAAATCAATCAGTCCTCAAGGCTCTCGGATTTAATTTTATTCTGCAAGTCATTGTTAAATTACAAGTCGTAACTCATCACCATGATCTTTATATATTCCATTCTCATGTTTCTGAATCACTCTTAACTTTCACTATTTGAAGATTACAAGGAAAACAATGTATCTACACGTTTTGTCGTGTTATAATGCTCGGTACTTATTAGCTGGGCGTTCAAAGTATTAGTTACATAGACAGATTTTGATAACAATGGAAGAAAAAAGTACCTTGGTACCTGTAGCTTGGTGGCTGTACCTAGGTAGCACATTATATTTATTTATAATTTTATAATACTGGACTTGGCCTTGGGCGCGCATTAAGCTTGTAGTAAATGATTCGGTAACAGTGACATCTTAAGGGTTTTACTGAATGAACTATAGTGCAGTGTTATATACATTCTTAGTCTAAAGTAAATTGTAATTTTACAGGTACTGTAGCAGCTGCAGCAACAGCAATCTTCGGCTTCCGTTCATCAAGGCCTGCGGAGCCGACTCGGTTCGTGGCCAACTTCCCATTCGTGTACCTCATCTACGAACGTCCCACCAACTCTATCCTCTTCATGGGCGTCTACAGAGACCCCAAGAAGTAAACCAAAAGAACTGAACATGTATCATATGTGGAATTTAAACTTTATACATACATCAAATAAGCTATTTTTCAATATCAGATCTGTTTGTACTTACATAAGCACTGTACTGTAAACAATTTCTTCGATTTGACTTATCTATATCTATACTTCTATACTTCTATACTAACATTATAAAGAGGAAAAAATTGTATGTAAGTATGTTTGTAACGAATTGTCTCAAAAAGTACTAGATCGATTTTAAACATTACTTTATTATTTGAATGTTACATTATTGATCACGGATTAATATAGTTCATTTAGTCCATCCGTGCGAAGCCGAGCCAGACGGCTAGTTTTTAAATACAACACACACACATCGTCTCAACTGGAGTATCTATCGGTAGATTTCTCGCTCTTGAAATTCAAGAGTGAATTACATGACAACACACGAATGACCGAAAGCAAAGAAGTTTATTTGCTATACATTTGAAGTTAGAGTAACTAATTAACTATTTAGGTAGTGGTATTTAGTACGTAATGAAACTCGTTTCAATTAGATGTTACATCCTTTCTTCGCCCAAAAAATGTACCTATTAAGCAAATGAAAGCTGTTATAGATACTCCTTGTGAGCTAATATTTTGCTTATATATCTCTTCATTGACGAATCATGATGTTAAATTATCTGCGGCAATAATAATAATTTATGTATAGTATTTTTGTACTATGTGATATCAAAACTAGAAAACTAGAGTAAAAACTCAGACATGTGTTTATCTGACACCAATGCAGATTTAATTATACCTATTTGTTAAGCTACAGTTAATTTAGAATAGTTTTGTATTTATTTATTTTACTCTAAGACATTCAAGTGCAAGAGATCTTGAATAATATTGTTCAATAATTTCATTGAAATTAGGTCTGTTTGTAAATTAAGATGAAGCTTTATGTTTTATAGTGTTTTTTATTAAGGTAACCTACGCGGAATGTTTGTGATTAAGTTTATTAAAGTGAAATGTCTTCACGACATAATCCAACAGACCTCTTTTTTATTTAATTACCGTCCAAGTCCAACCCGCTCCTATACGTAATTTCCAACAAAACAACTGAAACGGGTTTACTTTAAGCGTATACCCTTCATATATTACCTAACAAATATTTTGACTTTATGGTCCTGACCTGAGCCTAACTCTGGGCAAGAGTATGCAGAGATAGATTTTAACGTGGTAGTTTAGTATCGTACATCTGTGGTATGCTTGAAAATCTTGCAAAACGTGAATGTACAGTAAGTATTCTTATATAATGAAATATAAAAATATTGTTAACGAAATCAAATGAAATTGGATACGAGTGATGGACTTTGGAGCAAAAAGTAGTATGACGTTGAGCTGAAGAAACAAACCGAAAATACGATAGTTAAAAACTTATGAGCTGGTGGTGAGCCGACCTTCATATGGAATGTATGGGATCTTCGGAAAAATATGCGAACAATGCCTATTAAGTATAATGATTGTAAATTGATTGGTAATTAACCATATTTGACGGATAATTACTTCCTGCCACATTTCATTATTAAGACAAGACTGTAATGGCTAAAATAACAATAAAAATGCTGTACACATTTCCTACACAAGTACAACTTTGCAAGCTTAACCAGGTACTTTGATTAAATGGCTCGATCGATTAATGATTCAACATATGTAAATTCAAATGACGGACTGTGAATGACTAATTTGTTCTAAATATTTCGTATAAAAAATATTGTTTCACGTCTAGACAATAAAATGTTAACATGGCAGTTTTGAAGAAAAAATCACAAAATTCCTTTGTGCTTTGTCGTGTGTGGAATGTAAAGTATTAGAATACCACATTAGGTTTATTTTTGACGGTGTCGTCACCTGCTACTGTATTTATCGTATAATTCTTCACGAAACTCATAAAAGTCAAGTTGAATTTAACTGCTATCCGTGTGCATTTGCCTCTTGTACGAGTGTAAACAAAATGATAATGCGCAGGTAAATAATAATATTACAGAGTACACAAGACAAAGCACTTTTGGTTTGGATGTAATGTTGCGATTACATATTCTAATGTACACAGGTACATTATGAATTTTAATGCACCGAAAGCTGATCTGCTTATCGCATTTTTTATTGATTAGGTTAGTCTTCTTGCAATATCGACATAACGCCGAATTCAATTGGGGAGTAATGCTATAAGGATTAATGAACCGATATAAATGGCTAATTTTATTAATACTTGTGCCTATAAATATGACAAAGAAATATAATTCTGTAAGAATTAGTGACACATACCGCTTAGAATTCCTAAATCGATTTTTTTTTCCTCCTTGGCGGAGATCGAAAAATTGTATAAATCTTCGAAATGACTGGTAGGTATAGGTTGATAACATCCAAATGACATAATATTTACATTAAGTTATCAGGAAGTTTGCTTGTTTTATGCTTTGTACGTAAGCTTTCTGATAGCTTGAACACTTGTATTTGAAATGATAACTACTAATTACACTAAAATCAATTTAATTATAAGTTATGGTTAAAGCTCCTATACATTTCCATTTCAGATGTCAGGCTCGTGACACAATAAGCAATAAGCTTAATTAAACGTCAATCTGTTATTGTTCGGTAAAACAAATTGACGGAAATGTTCATTTCGATAACTCGAGTTCTATAATCTTCAGTTCCATTCGTTTATTACGAATGTCTTTCAGTTTTAAATTAGTTATTTCATTACACTGCCAAGTAAGCCCAGTGTTGGGGGTCTCTTGTAACTTGTAACGACAATATATTAGCGTTGTTATGGAGTGTACATCGAGCCGATGTTATCGCACACTGTCCACTTATCTCTGCTCTATGTAACTTCCGTATAAGATCTATAGTAGAAAGTTAGAGCGGTTAATGAAAGCTTCATTTTGGTAGTTGATTTTTTACAAATCAGCTAAATAGCTGTTTTCTAATCGCTGTGAAAAGGTCGACCCTTTTGATTGAAGACGACGATGACGTGTGAGATCAAGTCAAATGTTATACTACCTACTTACAGATGTCTGACACGCCTGATATGTGGGTAACAGACGGATTAAACACGAAATTAGAGATCGTTAGTTTCTACGCCAACACAACACGAGGTATAAATGTTTAGGAACCGCTACTTCGTAACAAACTATTGAATCTCATTCGATAAACATAATCCTTCTTATACATTTTAGAGGTATATCAAGAGCGTAACTTAAAAAAATCCACATAATCAATTTTATGTTATTGGTCATGTCTACCAAATAGTGACACAATTTCATAGCACCACATTTGAACGTTGGTAATGTTTCTCTGTAGTTGTACAAAATCGGTAAACAAGAAACAAAGTAGTTACATCGAACGATTGAGACCTTTGAGAACCTTCAATATTGTTCCCTAATAGTAGGGTGTGTATAGAGATGTGCTGTGATTACGGACAAGAGTACCCAACCAGACTATATCGTACCGCCGCCGCCAGTGCATTACCCTGCCACTGAGAAAATGTTGACCATTACTCATCTATTACTACTTACTGTTTATGTGACTCGACATGAGTATCCTCACCGTTCAGTTGAAAATGCAGAATGCTCAGTTTTCACTCATAATGTACGATTTCCTGCAAGCGCGCCAACTAATGACGTCTGGTTACGTTGCATACTTCGTCCGTTGTTTTCACTCGGCCTATCATTTATCATTTTAAAGAATTGTTCATTTTCTATGCACCACTCTACCATATTGACCATATTTGGAAATCCTGCTACGTGCTTAATTATTACGAATGTAACCTTAGTTAGCAACTAACTAAGTTTCAACAGTTGCGTAGGGTCACAGTTTTTAAAAAGGATTCAGAATGTATTTTTAATATATTTTAAAGATTTCTCTATCAAAATTAACATTGATTGACATACCTTCTGTATCCTTACGCTTTAAACTCTATAAATAATATCAAACCATATTATTGACGTTGAAATGCATTGAAATTGAAGCGTAGACATAACGACTCAATTTACTGGATTTTATCCAACTTTTATCATTAGACTTCCATGGTTATGCGTCAGAGTCAATGTCAACAATCCATTATAGATTTTTTTCTTGTTGATTCACCGACGGTATTGACTGCGTAAAGCAAAAATATAAATAGACTCCTATGTCATACTCTTTATTCGTCAACAAACTGTGACTACAAACCGTTAAATGTCAAATTTTAGAAAAAAATATCTATGCATATTTCTATGATAATGCAATCAGAACTTATAAATTTTATTTTGAGGTTATTTGAATTTAAGCATGAAGTTATATTTAAGTGATAACAGGAAAATCGTCTCTAATTTATGATGATTGACGGCCCATCACACGGAGAAAGTTGAAGTGCTCACAATATTCACAAGTCTGTTTACATTGAGTATGCTACGGCATTTGTATATTTTCTTTTCATACGATAGCATATCATACTGGCTCGTCGTACATATGTTGGACTTCACAGTTGTCTTGTTTTTTATTAGTGGTCGCAGCGCGCGTCAACATATACCTGTGTTTATCTGAGGGAAGGTCGTCCGCTATACTTCCGTTTTGCAGTACGCTTTCTTGAGCTCATAACTTAGTTATTTTGAATTCGTACGACCGCTCTGTTTACTGTATAAGGATTGTTGTCTGCCTTTATGTATTGCTTTTCCCTGTTGCTATTGATACCGATACCAGTTCTTTGCCATTTTTATTGCACATTTTCTATATACGAATGAGGGTTTATCTATGTAACTGATCTAAAATTATTTCTTCACCTTTTTATGTCGGTATTTGTTATTGTATACATACTTGTATTGTAATGCTTTATTAGGAGTTGTTTGATGTTTAACATCATTTACACAATGAGATGGTTGGTTTGAAATTAATTGGGCGCAATGTTCTTTGTGCCGGTCGTCGGCAGCGGGACGGACGATTAATAAAGAGCACATAAGTAAACAATGAGTGGAAAGCAGGTACGTAAATCCATCGGAAGTATTTGTGGCGTCGATAGCATCAGTTCGTCCACAATAGAACTAATTACCGCCTTAGGTCGGTGCGTGTGCGCCGGAACCGCGGGAAACAATGCCCGCCGACTGCCGACTACCCGACAACTATTTATATATACCTTTTGTTAACTCATCTTAACGTTATCACAATGGCGAGGCCCCAAACTGTTTACAATTAACACTCAATGTGGGTCATTGTCTATGTTTTTTCACAAAGAACTGACAGAGCTATCAAAAATGACAGATTTTTTAATAAAAATGTTTTGTTTTTGTTGAAAGTTTCATCATATTTATAATGTGTTTGTGAAGTGCTCATTTTAATAGTATGTTCTAATCTAGAAGTGACAAAAGTTGAATAGCTGAATTAAGTATTGTAGTGAACGATAACACGAGGACTACATAGTGTTTCGCTACGGTACATGTATGTAACTTTGTGTCCAATGAGATCAATCTGAATACACATTTATTTAACTCTAGGAAACCACACTGTCCGCTGTCATACATACCAGTGTAAATAAATCACAGCATTTTTGTTTTATTTTTGACTTTAGTTAAATAAACTTACCGGAAAAACCCTATTCGGAGAAATATTTTGATATAAAAATAACATTATACCAATTTGTTTTCCTGTTGACTGGATAATACTGATTTTCATTTTTTTTACTATTTACAGAATGTAACTGATACATACTAGGGTTTCAAATATTTGAAATGGCCAGGAATTGTGCAGGTACTCCTACTGCAATTAAGTTCGGCAATATAGTTGGCAAGCCGTTAATAAAAAAGCTCTCAATCCAAAATCTTTGAATTTAAATCGATTTTTGACATCAGTTGTATTTAGTTTCTGTTTAAAATTGAGATCGATGGATCGAACCATGAGAATTGGGATTAAGATCAATTATTAATTTCCAAGGTTCTTAGTCTTAATATCATTTTAGAAAACCACTAAAAGATATTTTCGATAAAACTTGTAACTTGATAAGCTTGTTTGGTTTTACTGGGTCAAAAAATCGATCTAACCAGGTGCCATATATGAATTTACTTTTACTTTATTAGAGCTCCGTTGCACTATCTATCTAGTCCATAAACCTAGGTATAATATCGTATATGAGAAATGAGTCTGGACAATGAACATGCTAACTGAAACAGCTATGGCAATGTTGTCTTTACCATGTTGTTACATGATATTGGTTCTTATGGGAGTTGTGTTTGATAGTGTGGGTAATGTCATCATTCAACGTATCCATGGAAGTGACTCACTGCTTGTAATCTATGCTAATATTATACAGAGGAAAGATTTGTACCTATTTTTGTGTTTGTAATGAATAGGCTCAAAAAGTACTGGGCCGATTTAAAAAATTCTTCCACCAATAGAATGCTACATTCTTCCAATTTGACATAGGCTACATTTCATCTTGAAAAAAAATAGGGATCTTAGGGATCCTTGGTCCTTGGAACAATGTAACCGAAGGTGTAGAAAAATGAGTCGGCTCATTTATATGAGCTTCTTTCAAATATCGGCAGCTTACTACAAATAAATCTGTTGCCACGTATTGAAAAGAAATCGCTTGTCGTGGCTTAAAGTAAGTAAAGTAAGTACATATTATTATGTAGCTTGACTGCTTGAGTACATCTCTTGATTTTCGTCGCAAAAATCGATAAACGGTTGCCAGCTCATACTTTACAAGCTGTGTGCGGTGCATTATGCATGACTATAACATGTTTACATGTATGAGATATCTGGAGATGGAGGAAAAAGAAAATGTCTGTATTATATAAAAAAAACATTTTATTAGCAAACTAACATAGGAAAGTAAAAATATAAGAAATTCATTATAAAACTGTAAATGTTGTAAAAAATTATGGTAGCTACATTTATTATATTACACGTACCTTACGGTGTGATACTGATTTAACGTGACCAGATCTAATCTGACATTATGTCTGACACTAGCGACCGAGCGATGCTGCTGCGCGCCTCACTACATTATTTATAAAAATCTTTTCTGTTATAAATGTTGATTATAGTATGCCATTCGATTACAGTTAATTCAGTTTCATATTTGTGTTTATTATAAACTCAGTGTTATTTCAACATTGGATTTTAACTTCCAGGAAGTCCACTGTTAATATGTGCAACACGAAGGCATGACTTGTCTTGAAAATTTTCAGTGAAACGGATAAAGGAAAAACCCAATACATTGTGAACTAACATGCGAAGTGTAATGTGGTTGTTTTATTAATCTTCGTAATCATTGTAAACAATATGTATGTATGCTTTTATTATCTTGTTACATGTAACAGGTTTGTGGAGGCGGCGCAGTAGCATAGCTCGGCTCGCGCAGTGCTCGGAAGACTTCAGTGATTGAACCAGTGCCGGGCAGCTGTTGGGCTACACCCGCACTGTCTAATAGATATACAGATAAGCAAAAAATCACAGCTCCGGTTAATCAAAATACAATTATGTTTTTGTTTTCATATTTTCTTCACCTTAAATATAATTCTAAAAATAAATAATGAAGTATTGTACAGGACGGCTCAGCTTAAGGGCGACGTAGATAAACCTTTACTTGACATTGTTCCGCACATTTGCGAAAAACGTTAAACTTACTTAATGACAGAAATATAAGTCCAATGAGTTGTATATCTAGGTACACACGTTTAAGTAAAGTAGTTAAGATGAATTAAGATAATGTTAATTAATATGAAATAAGAGCCGACAGCGCCGCCCTCGTAAATCGAGGAGCGACCTTAAATAAATAAACAGTATTTACAAAGTATTTAACATTACAAATCATCGTGTGCCGCGAATCATCCACGTCTCCCTTATAACAACTCCGATACTATATAAAATTAAATTATCCATGCAATAATTACTCATAGAACCTTATAAACGAGACATAATTATCAATAAAATCTAATAATCAACTCAGGAACAAATGCAATAAAAATCGATCAATATTATCCTTTTCAATAATAAACCTTTTCAAAATAATGTACTCAAAAACCAACATAATTTAATATATTACATGAATATATTAACAACCATTTATGCACTCACATAATTTATGAAGGTAGCCATAGTATCTTAAAGTAATCTGGTAAATCTCTCAATGTTTCTTATTTAGGTACTTATTAAAACTATAAATTCGCTAGTAATTCAAATACCATCTAATGAGATACAAGTGGTAGAGTATAAAATTTACTTTCAAAGTCAACTTTAATATAAAATTCATTCATGATACATATTTACAAGATAATGAGTATTGTTAAAGAGTTTCCTCTGGCTTTACAACTACATTTTAAACATATTCACGGCAATCTCAATAGAAAGCTTCACGGTACGCACGAGCCGAGGAGAGGGTGTAGGTACAATGTTCAGTCTGAAAAGTAATTTAGATGTGTGTTCGCCGCCGCCGGAGCGGGCGCGCGTAATACAATTCTAATGTTATACAGATAATGAAAGCTTCCTTGTACTTACGTAGTTCCATCTTTGAATAATAATATTAACTACTTATAAAGCGTTCATACAAAGTTATTATAAAATTAAACCGAAATACTTAAAGGGTTGAGATTGAGACTCAGAACTATAGTAACACTACACAAGTTTATATCGATAGTGTCACATTCACAAAGGACTTCACAGGAGCGTCAAAGGGCAGTGTTCGTTAACAAATAGCTAAATACTGAACATTCTTTGTTAACAGTATTGCTACTGGCAAGATGCATATTTACATCGGCAACTTAGTTATATAGGTACTCGTAACTGAGAAAACTAATCCAGTTCCAAAACAGTGCGGGAGAGATGTTAACAGACATGTAAACTGATTCTAGTGACGGATAATACTAAGAAATATGATATGGGTAAACGGTACAAATAAATCGTAATTTAATAGAATATGAAATACATTGATTCGATATTCCTATCTGCATCTATAAATCTTTTAATAAAACTGTGGAGTCTAATTAATTTGTTGATTTACAATATTGTTTTATTAATGTTTTCCTATTTAATAACACGGTTTCAGAAATTGTTAGTTCATTTTAAAGGTCTGTTTGACTCCGTAGTATCCGGGTTAGTGTAAACATAATTACAGTTGCCAGTATCAAAGCTACTAGAATGGTATCTAAAATTAACAAATCGGTATACACGTAGGTAGGTAGATATTCTACTATTTTATATAGCTTTTTACTCGGGATGGGAGGACCAACCAACGAAATAAGTTTAATTAGTATAAAGTGAACTTCAGTCAGGTTCTGCTCAGTGAAAACCTGTAATTATAATCTGAGTTGTACACTTTCAGTTCACAAATTAGCCTGAGAACAGTTCAGGTCGAGCTAAATTGGCTTCAAAAGAGGCTTAATGGAATAGTTTAATGGAAAAAATGACTAGGTCGTGCTGCAATGACATTGTGTGTGATACCGCGCGCCTGACGTGCGGAGGCCGAAATATTATAACTTGACCTTAATTCCGGTGGTTCAATTTCAATCACGGTACATAATTGAACTATTGTAATAGACACTGCATGATATAGCCTATTAACGTATTTATTGTCCTGCATTGGTAAACCGGCTAGTAATCAAGGCACACAGAATACTAAAGTATTTTTAAATAATAACGATCGGGTATAAAGGCTCGAGTATATAAGCGCACTGACAAGTACAAACAAAATAGAGCAACAATCTGTATAATAATGGACTACATTTATGCAACGACTTCACTAATGTCGATTATATCATTCCACGTCTCAGTACCAGCCAATTCATGCTAATTTTCGTTATGATACTGAACCATCATGGTAATCAGATGATGATAATAATGTTAATTGAGCACATTGCCTCCCATTGTCAGAATGTATTTTGCAAATTATAGAATCAAATGACAGGAGGTTATTGCTTTTTTTCTTTTGTTTTCAATGGAAAAAGAAAGTGCTTTCACAAAACTTTGGGTGTCTATTATATTGTAGTGCTATTGGAATGAAAGAGGCTGATTTTGAAATGAAAAACGAAATACAGTTATTTCAAGACATTATTTACAAATGGCCAGAGCACACAAAGTGACATCAGAACACCTGACTGCATAGAAAGGTATCTGAAAATGTCAGTAAAACAGATTAGAATGATGTCTATACTCGTATTAGGTAATTACTTTCACTAAGTGGAAGGTAGGCATGCACGGTACTTTCATGCACTTTCATACTCGAGATAACTGTTTCATGGCTAATAACTGGTAACTAATAATGGAAAGACATAAAACGAGTGCTTACATAGGCGTCCGAGGTAAACAATGTCTAAGAGGGTACCTAGGTACTGGTCAGTGGCGCTGCGCACGTATAAATAATAACAGGGCGCGGCCCTGTGTTATAAACACAGACGGAACAAAGAAAGGCCAATTTGTTAGACGAGAAAGGGAGCACATTTTAAAGACCGCGATTGAAACACCACTTGTATTTATAATTTATAGCAATCTAAGGGCAATCAGGCCTCTCCCAGTATGAGGCGAAAGATGTAATATTGGGAATGAGAAACCGTTCACTGCGTCGTCGGTCGCGTCGTCCGATATGGACACTCGAATAATGGTCCCTCCCGTCCCGAACAAGCTATTACGTTCCAATTTATGAACAGTACATTATAATAATAGCGCAAGTATTCAACTTTTTGTACCAAGCGTTATCGGAAACATCGCAGACTTACTAAGTAAATAGAAATGTCGAAAAATAATAGTGTGGCCACGTTCGAAAAAATAAAATCACTGTTCAAACCAAGAGGAGCACAGTGAAGAGATGCGATAGTTGAGCGGTGAAAGATGCTGGGTTCTGAATACTCGTTCTTTTAGTCTTTTTATTTTTATTTTAGAAAGTTCAGTCGGTCGCACAGCGGGAGAAATTACTGCGGCGCTAGCGCTGCGGCGACCACTAACACCAGCGGTGCTCATCATTGTTCACTGCTATCTGATGTACCCCGCGACACGTCTTCAAATTTCGATAATCCACTACTTAAACAAATACTATTACTTATGGGCCACATTACTAATAGTTAGTGTCTGATATCTACCTACCTACACCAAAATGCACAAATGTTGTTTAAAGATATGACTTCTAACGTACATAAACTAGTATTTATGACTAATAAATATGGAATGTAAGTCAATTCTATATTTTATAATCTTGTAAAACACTTAAAAGTATCTATCTGTTCTTAGCTAAAGCTAAAATGTCTACGGTAACGGGCGGCATTACATACAAATTAACAAATAAGATTAACGGCCGAGAACCTTCACATCTCTCTTTCGTAACTGTCTTATTTCTCTATAAATTATTACGTTATTAGCACCTTACCAAATTCATCTGTGATATTTTCAGCCTTTAAGTATCGATTATAAGAAAATACATTTGTTTATATATCACCATGATAAAGTTCAATTGACTATCAATGGGGTGTGAGCGGAGTGCAAGGAGGCGCAGGCGCGCGTTACCTCTGCTTGTTGGGCTTGACGGCGCCGTTGGCGGCGGCGCTCTTCTGCGCGATGTGCGTCTGGTAGTGCTTGGCAAGGTGCGCCTTCTGTCTGAAGCTCTTGCCACACAAAGAACACGTGAAGGGCTTCTCGCCCGTGTGCGTCCGCACATGCACGTTCACTGAGTACTTGTCCTTGAACCCCTTTGAACAAATGGAACAATAGTGAAGAGATCTCTCTTTTCTAACTCCATTCGATGTAGAGGTTGCCGCCTGGATAGCAGTACCTGACTGCGCTTGCGTCGTCGGCGCTGGGTTCTTGTTCTGTGGCTTCTTGTATCTTCTGTTGCCTGGCTTTGTGCTAGTAACAGTTGGCGAGGCTGTTACTATTTGCAGATGTTGGTTCAGTTGAACCTCTCCGGCAGGAATCATGGTCACTAATTCACCGTTGACGTGATGAATATTATAAACACTTCGCGTCGGGTCAATAGGTTCCACGGTACAAAACGGTTGCATAGATTCCCCAAGTTCCGTTGCTATCCTTTTTAACTTTTCGTAGTCTTCCGGGTAGTTAGTATCGAGCCGCGACAGTAAAATGTCGTCTACACTCTGCGTAGAAGAAGGGTTTTCTCCATTAGACACGATGGAGTTACTATTAGGGTCTTCTAATAGTATTGATATATTCAATCGATTTTGCGGAGATATTTGCATCAATAGTTCGTCCTTGCTGTCTTGGTACATTGATGGAACATCAGGCTTGTTATTATTTGTAGTAATAACTCTTTTCAGTTCATTAGTAACCTCGACTTTTACAGGATTTTTTTGTATAGTGCTATATCTAATAAAGGCCTTTCCTTGTAATGCGCTCCGGAGCAAAGATTCATTCGATTCTGTGTTTTGATCCGTTATTTTCCAATCATTGTTATTGTTATTAAATTCTACTTGACTTTCTAATAAGGCTGGTGTTACGAGTAAGGATGAACTATGCGACTCTTCTTTTTTGTCACTACTCTGGAAATCTCCTTCTTCATAACTATAGGGTTCTACTTTTACTAAATCACTAGTACTCAAATCGGCATGTTGACTTTCTGAATCACCATCTTCGTATGTAAAACCTTCAACTTTAGGTAAATCTTGGTTAAAGTCATTAGGAAAGCCATTCATATTCAATATAGATTCGAGATCAAGTGAATTGTGTGTTTCTATGTCTGTAGGACTAGACATAGACACATCCTCTTCTTTAGCCCAGTATCGGTTCGAACTGGTCTCCGTCATGTCATGATTTAATACCGTCAATGTATATATTTGTCCGTCCGTGTTGTTTATTAATTTATTAGAAATAGCCGTGTCCGCGCAGGGATGCGTGCCATTAATATCGTTTTCCTGGTTCCAGTAAAACTTGTTGAGATCCTCCAACATGGTATTGTCTAAGCGGTCGCGCTCGCGGTCCACGTTCCAAATAGAGTCAAAACTCTGCAGCGTAGTGGAAGTGGTGGCTGTGGCCATGCCACTGGCACCGACCTGCGCGCCGCTCACGCTGAGTAAACTGTTATTATTCTGTTCTTTGGGCTCTTCTGAGAGCAGTGGGTTCGACCTCGAGTCGGGTGATTCCATGAACACATTAACAGAACGCATCTGTTGTTTGTACTGGGCATCAGTAACCTCGTTGGACGTCACGAAATCAAAGAAATCCGACTTTGACAGTTCTGGGGCAGTGGCCGTCATGACTACCGTTTCATTTACAACCGAGGACGACTACTCGGTTTGTTCTCGTGTCAGTTTTGCTACATCAAGCTCGTAACGTTTGTGTTCAGTTTATCTTTGTACTACAATAAATATATCTAAATTTAAATAAGTGAATAACCCGGTATGACTTGTACTTTATTGGCAGTCGCTAGAGCGTCGGTAACTGAGAGTGCAGGAGTGCGGGGCGCGGGGCGCGGGCTGGGGTGCTACTCGGACGTGCCCAACGTGCTCGAGTCAATCGGCGGACCAATCGAGTGTGCGAACTTGATCCGTACGTTCCTTTTTCCCATTATTCACCCCAACCCTAATCCTTGATGGTTGAGAACTTAATTAGTCAGGCTCTTGACAGAGATAATGCAATCGACCACATCCATGATGTTTTGAAGTTTGAAGTCCAGGAGTGAAGTCAATCTGGAAAGGAGAAAAGGATACCATTAATGACATTACTCAACTGACACAGTGCTTAGATCAATTTAGTTATATTAACAAAACTATATTGCGTCGGTTTCGCACATCAAAAGGCAGAATATATCCGTATCTGAATGTTTAATTAATAAGCTCGCTTCGAGTCTTTAGATCCTGTACAAAATCAGGGCGAGCAAGTCACGCGTTGCGCCTATCAGGCATCACGTAGCGCCTGCGCACTATGTAGTGCCGTACAGCCGCCGCCTGCGCAGTGTTTTTCGATCCAAGTCTGCTTTCAGCCCAAACTTCATAATACGTTTAGTTCAGTTAAAACAGACAGGCATTCGAGTAATTAATATGAAAACAGACACGTGGTTCGGTATACGGTTCTAGTAGTTTGGCTAATTTTAGTCTTAACATTATTTTAATTTGCATACCTATCCTCCATTGTTCACACAACTTCATTTTAAATAAAAAATAGGAAATTATTGTTGCGAATTAACACGATTAATATTGTATTTAAATTCTTCAATACTTTCCGTACGAGTTCGATATACATGTCGTAAAATGAGAAAGGTCTGTCAAACGACACGATGAATTGGAGCAAGCGCGAGGGACCGAAACAACCGATATTAAGTTTCATCTGACAGCTGATACAATGGTAACTCGTTCATATTTGACGAAATATTATTTACTTGCTGTATACTTTACAAGTACTATTATATTCTACGGTAATATAACGTGCTTTATCTAGTCTAAAAGCTATTTTACTCTAAGAGCACCGAAAAAATATATCTTAGAAAATACGTTTTTAGAACACTCTTAATATAATGATTATCTAATACTGATAGAGATGTTCATTTAACGTCAAACTGAAGTTAAACTATCTAAATGTCATAATTTTTTTAATTGTATATATTTGTTTGACTAAGTTATTTTCATTAATACAAACAAACACATGTTTAAAAATATAAAATTATATTATTCGTGAATGTTGCGCACACAATATCCATCATGAAAATTAAAAACAAATGAAGTATATCGTGACGTCTTGTGTGATGCGTCTTATAACTGTTGTTAACTTGAAAACGGAATGTAATACTTGCGAGCAATAAAACATTCTGGAACGAATCTTTAATTAAAAACAATGACGTTATTTTTTGTTTGAATATTTGTGATGTTGGAGTTCGTGTATTTTGCTACGATATCTAATCAAGTATGGAATTATTGTGTTCATTGCACGCTATTGTATTTATTTTTGCAGGAAGTTAATGTTATTGACCACTTTCTTATGTAGTCAGTTTGCATAGTCTCCGTTGGACAGCGTCGTATGTTTAGCTTGGAGATGATCAATAAAACAATCGATTTATTATACACAGCGAGTCAGTCGTAAAATTCTAAATTCAATCAGTACTTTACGTCATTGCCTCACAAGCATATTTTAACTGTACTGAATTGTGTACAGCCTGTCATTACTTTAAAACGAAACACTAAGTTAACATGCAAAATTGTTGTGCAACTAACATTGTTAAAAATAGTGCTTTTGGCATTACAAACCCTATTTCGTAAACGTGGACCGTTTGGTATGCGCGATGGATTAACTTTAAATTGGCTATAGGAAACATTATAGATGGGTCTTGTCTTGAGTCATAAGTGCCCATCATAAACGTAAAAATATTGGGTTAAATTGGCCGATGCAGGTATAGTACTCTGGGTAATCCCAGACTCTGGTTGGCGGACTTGCAGGCAACCATTATAGACGGCTCGGTAAGGTCGCCGCAGTGGTTTTTCTGAGAATCTGGTCTCGTAATAGCTTCGTAAGCTATTAACTTAACAGATAAGCGTCGATTATTGCAATTGGTTCGGGTTTGTATTCGCAACGCTGCAACAAATAGTTTGAGAGAATCATTGTAGGTATTATGCCTTTGCATATTTTAATAATAAGAGCTTGAAAATTTGGTCGCCTTTTGTCGTTAAACTGGGGTTTTTCTGTTTTCATTATTTTTTGTTCTGTGGTTACATTAAGAATAGGTAGGTCAAACGAGTAGGCACCTGCTGAGCAAACTTCGTGCACGTTAGGTTATTTTATGACTACTTGACCTGGATTGTTTATGTCATTTGGTTACCCACCTACTGTAGTATTATTATGGTTGTGATTTAGTTTTAGAGGTTAAATGTTGACGTTAATCTAGCGTAACAATAGTAATAAAATTGTTTAATCAAGTAATTGAGTAATTAGTGAATACAAGGTATAATCGACAGGCAAGGATGTGAATTTGATGACTTTGTATTGAGCAGTGGCAGCGGCGCGGTGCATGTGGGTTAACGAGCGCGGTTGCGCCACGGACGCCGCGCCGCGCCGCCTGCGCCACCGCTGGCACACCGATACCTTCAGATATTAACAACTACACAAACGTTTTATTATATTTCATATTACGTTTTTGTTTTTGTTCAACAATTTAATAATTTTGCAAATATTATGAAAAGTATAAAAAAAATTATAGGCCGCTTATTATAATTCTTCACTAATGGGTAAAACCAGGAATGTGGTAGGTACTTCGTACCAAGTAATAATAACATTTCCATTAGCTATTGATGCTACTAATAAGGCAGAGCACCAGAGAAACCTTACCTCTTATACCTATCTAGAAATCTCAAATTGCAATGTTCGTTAGCGCGAGTACCCATTACATTTTATGCCCATTTGTATTATTTCTACGTCTATGCCATCTCAGGCTAGTAATTAATTCCTCTAACAGATTTATGAACCGATATCTATTAATAGCATTCTTAAATTAATTGAAGAATATATTATTATAGACAGAGTGGACATGGTGGCGTAATATGCTTGAACTTACTTGTTTACTACTTAACCTACCTGTTTATACAATAGGTCCGTTATTAATGTAATGAGCTTGCAAGCAAGCATTCAATATGTACGAAAATATTGTCGTTTAATAAAATAGTCCGCGCCATATCGATATCGTAGATCTAGTTCGATATCTTTAATTAACACGAATAAATGGCCTCGATATCGCAACTACAATGGCCGACTTTATCTCCGCGGACTATCGACCGATGTCTACAAATTGCGTCGTATTTACGACAAAAATACGCGGACAATTAACTGTGAAGTAGTGATGTGACGATATAGTCAGAGAGCTGGTGAGCTGAAGCTGATCCGGCGCATGATCCGGGTGTTACACGGAACAACGCAGCAACCACCGCCCGCGCCGAGCGCGGCCAACAGATGCGGCCCGCGATACCCGAGACCACATTGTGACGGTTTTAATTGGACGTTTTACATAGAATTGATTCGAAATATAGCTCAACGTGCCGCTGGTCATTCTCGGCAAACCCAAGGCGACGTTCGACATGCAGCACGATGTTATGATTGTGTGTCTGAATTGATTATATTGTATTTTTGTTAACAACTTCATTGAATACAAAGAGTTATTATAAACAATATCTTGAAGGTAGCATCGAATCTTTAAAAACATAATGTTGATTAGTGTATTATTGTTAGGAATAATGTTCAATGATGGAAACAGTTATTGCACTAAGATTCATTTTTAATGGGTTACTAATTAATACATACAAATAATTTCTAATAGGAGGCACAGGCAAAATTACGAATGTTATTATGATTCGTATAATTGTCGCTCTGTTTCATATCAATCGGCATTAGCTAGGCAGCCGTAAATGGGAGCTAGTTGCAACGCGGCCGCATACCAGAGCGCGCATCGCCGCCGGCTGACCCCTGACATTTGGACAGAGGATGGCTGGATGACCGCTTGCTACGTACCAACAGCCTTTGATCTCTCATACTGTTGCAATTTTATGCTAGATTATTATAACGAGTCGGACATCAGCAAAAGTGAAATTAACGTTGCGTGTGTTGATCTGCTGGCGGGCGTTACTATAAACTCGAATGACACGTGGTTAATTGCGGTTCACGCAATTAAAGGGCCCGGCCACGAGTAGGTTTCTAAGTTCCGAAGATTCTCCACTTCCACTTGTACACTAACATATCTGAGTAGTCGTTTAATATCGTCACACTTTTATAACAACTATGCACATTGATTAAAACCGAGTTTGATGTTTCGCATATCACGAATTAAGACTAATTTAAATAGGCAATCAGCATTGATGAAATATTTCAGCAATTCAATTACGCCGCTAATTATGCTCGAAATCTATTTGAATAATTAATTCGGTGGGTAGCAAACGCAGCGGTACTATGTGCTGGGTGCTGTAAGCTGTAAGGTGGTTATAAATGCCAATATAGGTCGATTGCGGTTTACACATTGATTTATGGCAACTGGGAGACCGGTGGCTACGCAAGGATGCACAATCTAGTCGTGACATTACTGGCAGAGATTACTTGCGTTCGCGCAACTAGAGTGCGTCGAATTCTGACGTAAAATATGGTTAGTATTTGTATCGAGTAGTGGTTGCTCGAGTTCCCACGCGGTGCGAACGTTGCGCCCGCGCCGACACTGCCTTGCAAACGTTTGGACACATGCTAATGTTGTTAAGATAGATTTCTGGGATTAAGAATATTTAATATACCGTGATGTCACAGTGGCCTACTCGTACATTTAACTTATTGACAGCGACAGCGAACAGTGTCCTTTTACTGGGAATATCAGTAACATTGTAATTCTCGTTGATCATAACTAATAAATCTTTTAGAGAAATCATAATACTAGTTCCGTCTATAATACTTAACATAACACTATTTGAATAAACATATTTTGAATAACTACAATAAAAACAACTGACTTTTTCGCTTTCTATTAGATATCTTATTTATCTGTAACCGAACTAAGAAATGTTTTATTGATGTCTATAATCGCTAGGTATAATGAATTGGACGGTTAGATTCTGCATTTCTATGAGCGGGTGTGCCGACCTGTCGTTCAGGTTTAGCTCAATTAGGAACCAAAATTATACTGAGATGACCGCTTTGTCCTAGAGAACAGCTCGCCGGCTCCAGCTAATTG